GTTCCCATCACAGCTGAACAAGCTGGTGTCTAATGAACCATTATCTTGAGCACCAACAGCCCAGTGTCCATCACTGTGTAAATGAAACCACAACACTGCTTTTTGTGGGACTTTTGTATTTATCAAGTCAGTTTTAGCTATTACTTTAATGGCCATTTTTTCTGATTGCAAGTCTTTCCTGCTCTTCATGATGTCCCTCCTCTTCATTATCCTAAACTTTTTATCAACAGCAGTTTGGCTCCTGTCTCCCTCATTTTTCAAACAATTTCTAAATGGTTTGCAGTGAACAACATCAGTAAAGTTACACTATCAATAAAACCTGCTTCAGCTGTCCAAATGCTCAAGTTCTACTTCCTTGGCAGGAGCTCTAGAACAAGGAATAAGTCCACTGTGAGTAAAAATGTCCCGAGACATAAGCCAGTCTATCTAAATTAGCACGTACACGAGTTATGAAAGTAGCTACGAGTCAGCCTGCAGAAGCTCAGTGCACCAGATGCTGAATTACCACATGGATGAGAAATTACTTTCCAATTACCAGAAGAGCCGTGTTACCTTTAACATGATAGAGACCAGACACTGCTAGCAAAGAGCACAAAATTGTAACTGTGTTAAATACACTCCTGTAAATTACTGGATAAACTTCCCTACCCACCACCAACAAAACCAACAAAAAGGTCCTTTTTAGGTTTTTTCCACTTCCATGTGGTTCCACTGCAGTATTCCCTCCAGCCCATTCTGAATTTCTTCAGTAAAATAAACTTTGCTTTGCAGAGTATAAGTAATTGATTTCAAAGTGAGAACACGTTTAACTGTTCCCTGTAATTTCCTGAAATAGGAAACTAACTTACAGCACTGTGGCTCCACGTTTTCTAACCTGCAGATTTTGCCTCTGTACAGAGTCTGTGTATAGAGATCCCTCAACGCAGGACAAGACTCTGCTAAGTTACAATTCCTTAATAATCCACCAGTGCAAGGTGCTGTCCATAGCTGCTGCTGTTCTGGCAGCTGGTGCTGTGACAGACAGCAGGACAAATGGCCCAGCCTGTCACAGGAGTCTGCCCTCCTTTTTCCTAATTGCCCCTTAAACACACACTAAATCACATTGAACTCTTTTCTTACTGTTACATCCTTTTATTCTCAGCATGTCTATGAGATACTAAAATGGAAGTAAGTTCCACTGTGCTGAATTTTCTCAGTGCTAGCAGACTACATCAAAGGAGTTAGCTCTGAACAGCTGCTGTCAATCCAATCCTGTAAAGCTCTTTAGCCATTTCTGCAAGACTATCACTGCTGTGCAGTATCTGCAGTGATCTGCAAACACTTCTTGTGCAGTTGCTTCTGGCACCGGTGCTGCAGTGGTGCCAGATGAGCAGATAGCAGCACATACAGGGTAAGCAATTCTTCTGCAGTCACACCACCAGCACTGCAGAAGTGAGGACAAAATCCACATCTGAGCTGCCAGTGCCCTTCCCCTCCTCACTCCCTCAAACTTCCCCTTCTGCCAGACTGTAGCTATGGAAAGCTGCACTTGCTTTGGTAGGGATTGTTCAGAGGTCACTTTGCTTTAAATAAAGTAGTGATAATACCAAAATTCTTGGTTGTTAATAATACTTAACCTTGTTTACCTTAACACAGCTTTTCTCCTTCATTTTTACTTTATTACTTTTACTTAACGAACAGCTTTACTTTGGATGATATTACAAACATTTCTGTCCAAAATAAACTCCTCTAATTCTGTATTTAGCCAACAGTGAAAACAGTGCCTGCACAGCTCCACACACCATCATGAGGTACAACACTAAAGAGAGGGATGCTCTAGGAAAACACTATCGAAAAAATGAACGAAACCCCCACCAACCACCCTCTCTATCTGCTAAAAATAATCTCCTTGAAGACTTCTCCTATGGAGAGCATCACTTCATCATAAAGACAGTTCAAGAAATGAAATAAAAGCACAAAGTACAGTAGGCTGCTTAAAGCAGAATGGAACTGCACATCCTACTTCCACCTGTGTCTAGGAGACAGTCAGTCCTCCAGCAGAATTTAAAGTCTTTTTCAAATCTATTTTAAAAATTCCCCACTCATGTTCCAAATGACATGACAGCTTCACAGTCCCCAGGACTGCAGCAGAACTTCTGAACCCTGAGCAGAAAATAACCATCAGAGCCACTTCCCTTTAATGGATTACACATCTCTTCTAATACTAACAGTAACAGAGAGAGAGAGACAAGGCAGGAGTAATTTCTCCATTTCCTCACTTTCTCAATTCCCACTTTCAATGACTTTCTCAACTCAAACCAAACTAGCAAACTGAAAAAAAATCTGCTCTGCATCTACAGAACACATTTACTGTTATTAATGCTTACTCAGCACTTCACAAATTATAGTTTCTGGCATTTAGTTACAAATTCCTATCGGTTCAGTGATCTAGGAAATCTTGATTATAACCATGGGCTAAGCATTGCTCTAAAATCATTATTTTTAGTGGCTAATATCAGGTTTGTGTTTGTACAGGGGTGTAAGGAGGACTTTTATCTGCTTTTATTCCACCCCTATTTTTTTATTATTATTTATACAGCCTACTAATAAACAGCCAAAATAAAGAAAACAAAGATCTGTCAAGTTATAAATAAAAAACTCATAAAAGGCAAACAGAAAACAGTACACAAGTGGAAGAGGCTAAGAAACAACTTCCAAAAGGCATAAAAGCACCATAACACTGTATTTTCAAAGAAATTAGGGCTACCATCAGGATAACAGAATCTAAAAGGACAACAGATCATCCAACTGTTAATAAAAACACAAAAATCAAACCAAACAAACAAACAAACAAAAAAATCAGAAAAAAAAGGCATTCAGAGAAGATAAGACTTAGAAGTTCACAAACAAGAAGTTGGGAAAGATTCCCATGTCAGAAAAGCTTCACAGAGGACACTCAATTTCTTTTCTGAAGTTAAAGCCCTGACAAAAATGGTTAGAGGACAATTGTAAAAAACAAACACAAAATCCAAACCCTCATGTCCTGCCCCCAAAGAGCAGGACTTTGCCAAGTTCAGCTAATACCCAGAAAAGAAAGTCAAGGATGAAACAACTGCAGTATTAAATGTGATGTGCATTGTCTTGATTTTTAATACATTATTACCAGAGGCCCTGAAGGCTCCCAGCAGGACCCAGCTCTGTGGAAAGCCCCTGGAGGAAATGCTGTGATGGCATCAGCCTGGTGTCAGTGTGGGCAAGGCAGGGATCACCCAGCAAAGCTGATACACAGCGAGAGCTCAGACTTCTCAAATCACAGCTCAGCATTTCTGTGGGTCTGTTTTTGGATAGAGATGGATTCTGAGTTAGGCATTACCATGCAGGAATGAGAATTTGGCCTAAGGAAATGCCAAATCACTGCTCTGCATCGGTGAAAAAGCAAAAACAACTGCAAGGAATTACTGGGAATGGAGCAGAGGGCTGAAATCATTATTGCCAGCATTTTAACTTCCAGCATGAGGGAACAGGAAGGAAAGGGAGAAGATGACACTCATGAAAGGCAACTGAACACAAAAACGCTGCCTCCAGCTCAGGGAAGCACAAAGCTGTGAATTACTACAAACCAAGTGAGCCTCCTGGGAGGCAACTCCTTCTCTTCCACCTTTGTGCCATTGATCAGGCACAGAGACACAACACTGGCAAAAGGAACCTCAGCCTGACCTGGAAGGTTTTGTCATTTCTTCTCCCTTGGTTTTTTTCCCAGAGCTGTAGCCTTAAAAATTGCATTGCAACTCCAAACGAAGGCAAGAGACAGCAATGATACCTTAGGTGATCCAAGTCAACATCTACTGAAACCAGGAGAAGAAACCCACAGGAAATGGATTTAATCCAAAACCAGCAAGACCCAAATCTCAACCCCTTCTGGGATCAGCACTGATGTGCCATTGGCTTCAGTGCTGCAGGATGATGCCTACAGTGAGCTACTGATGAACAACTCACAAACTCATCAACCCTTTCACACAAATTGAGCTAATTGTAATTGACCATCACCCAGAGCAGGAGAAAACCAAACCACAACACATCTGTTACCAGCTGAAGCTCTGATCAAACAGTCACCACTGCTGGTTCTAGGGAAGCGCAGTAACATGAAAGCTTTCATTACACCTACAGGCTGCTGAGTGACAGGCTAGTCATTCCAGGACTTCAAAGCTTTCTTTTCTTTAACATACTACAAAACAGTATCATGACTTGGACAGAGCAAAAGAAATCCAAATAGAAAAGAAGGAAGAATACATTTACCCCAGCAAGTGTCCCAGGATGGCAAGTTATTTTCTGACCACACACCTACACAGATATCCACACATTGGGAATCTGTGGCAAAACTCTATTAATTCTGTTCTGACAAACAAATGTGACAACATGATTTGATGGGGAGAAGAAAAATCCCCAGAGGTCAAGCAATTGTTGTTGCTGCCTCATGCAGTGCAAACAATCACAAGCTCATCTCCCCAGTTCACGTGGGTGTCAGTCTGATAACTACACATAGAACAGGCACAAGGTTTCCAGCCCTGGCAGTAATTACTGAAAATGTTTAGCTAGTAGGAGCATTCCTGCTCATATCCAGAGGGACAAAGTATCACCCTAAAATATTATATATTAAAAAAAAATACAGAAGATATGCTTACTATTATTAAAAGAGTGAAAGAGAAATAATTCTGAAAGTTTATGGCAACCTGAAATCTAAGAAAGGAATCTGTCCCAGAAGATGTTTAACACACCAGGTCCATCTTGGGAGTCACTTAAGAGACAATAACTTCAGAGACAATCAGTATTATGGAATACAGTCACTAACAGAAGAATGTATGGACACAGGTACTTCAGTAAGCCTCCTTTAATCTTAAAATATTTCTAATAAACCAAAAAGATAAAATAACCTAGTGGAAATGGGGAAAATTAATTGGGAAAAAATAGTTCAATGTGATCAACAGCTAAGTTCCATTCTCCTATCCTGTTTGCTTCAGCAGAGCTCCATCCCAGTGCTCTCAGCAGCGAGTCCCTGCGGAGCCCTAAGGGCAAGAGCATGTCCATCTGCAAAGCAGAAATGAGTCTGTTCCAGAGGACACTGGAAATGAGTAAGTGAAAGTCCCTGTGCAGCTACAGAGCTCATGGCTGCAAGTATCAAAGAGAACAGCAAACCTTTTCCAGATGCTTTCACACAAATCTCGCCATCCAGTTTTTTTGGTTGTAGCCAAAACCCAAATATGCTCCATGAATGGATTAAAAGTAGCACTGCCCATGAAAAATTAATGCAACACTTTAAGAACATCAACCCGAAATGTGGATCTTATACATGATGAAACAGTTCTACGGATGTCAGATATTCCCTTCCCTCTCTTGTACTGAACAGTCACACAGCAACAGCACAGTTGGAAAACCATTCCTCCTCTTTAGGTGTGAACTCACACAGGAGAAAGTCACTGCTCCCTAGAACTTTGGTTAAATGAACACTGGAGCTACATCTCACAAACATTTTACATACAGGAATGTGAAAACCTCACTGGAGAGCAGGTGCCCATACTTTAACCAGCCCTCTGCAGAGGCCCCCAGGGCTTTCTGACTGCCCAGTGCCCACTCCTGCAGGACACCCCCAGCCACGCTCAGGGACCAGAGATGCTGCCAGTTCTGCCTTACACAAAACACATTCTGCTGATACTGGCAACACAAAAATCAAGGTTAAGAGTTAGTTTTAAATGCCTTCTTCCTTCTCAACTGTTTCTATGGTGAAATTTTTAGTTCCTGTCCTCTGTTAAAACTCAGTGTTTTATTTAGCTGAAACACTGAGAAAAATGTTTCCATTCTTTTTGGTTTGTTTATGAAATTACTTTAATTTTTTTTTTTTCTTGCATACTGGGTTTGTTATTAAATATTATCTGAAGCACAATCACGTAAGTGATTCCCTTCTGAAAAACAGTTTATGTATCGAGTATAAAAAACATATTTTGACTGTTCCAAGCACAAGCAGTAAATGTTTAACATGCAAATTCACTCACATACAATAAGCAATAACCTTATTTTTGGCATGTAGTTACAAACACTACCCTATCAACTGTACAGTTACCTTCACAGTTTTTTCAATCAAGTCTGAAATTCCTAAATACAGCAATACAGTTTTTTTTAACAGCCAAGTTCTTTTATTATTTTCCAAAACTCAGTTTAAAAGATTTCCAGTCTACTTTTTACCTCCCTCAGTGGTTTCAGCAAAGATTAAGGACAATCAATTCTTTCCAAGCTCTCTCCTGGAGCTTGTGTCTGTTACCTCATTTCCTGGCTCCTATGAAGCAATGTGAGACAAGACTTTGGTGAAAACTATCATCATAACATTCACATTTTCAAATACTGAGTTCAGTTCCTCAAAAATAGTCATGAACCCCTTGGCATATGAGACTGAAATTCTTCCATCACTCTTTTCTTTAAGTGGTCATGCAACTGAGAAGGGTTTTTAAAAATGTTCCTGGATAGTTTTCCAACTCCCCCAACCAACCATCTCTTCTCTCTTTTACAATTCTCAGTGACCTATTTCAAAAAACACTCCAACTTTCAGACACTGTCAGGGTATTTCTACCCTTGTTCATCTCTGCCAGCTCTGTTAAGCCTCTGCCTTTCACACTCATTCAAACCACAGTACATAACATACAGCACCGCACCTTAAATTTAAACAAAAAAAAGGTAACGAAAAATTGTTTTCCTTAGCTTCATCATTCAGACAGACTTTTCAATCAATTAAAAATCAGATCTTCATTAAAGATCAGATGAGATTTTAGGCCAAGGACTGCACATCATTTGAAGCCACACAAAACAACTTTATTGATTTAATATAAAAACTTACCCACTTGGCAATTGGACACCCCTGAGAGCTTTTTCCTTCCTTTCCTGTATAAACCACTACCTCTATTCTTACAGCGCTTCCTTTTGCTCCATACCTGCATTAAAAAAAGTTCATGAGTAAAACAAACTACTGTAGACCATTTGAAAAGAGGAAACATTTTCAGTAAAAGACTAATGAATTTATTTTTACTGGAGTATTTTATAAACAAAGTATTTATAAAGCAAAAAAACCCCAAAAAACAACCTTTTAATTTATAACCCTACTTGCAAGACTAGTTTTTGACATCTCTCTTCTGATAAACTTCTGCCACTTAGGAAATGGTATCTGCATACAGATCATAGTGCAATCTAAACTAGTATGACCTTTTTCTTTCCAGTTTGCCACCGCTTCTTCACAGGTAGGACACCAGAAAACCTTATTCTGCCAGCTGCTGATCTCTGTCCTTCCTACTGACTTCAAGGGTACTTCAGAACACACTGCACTTGAACTCCAGCCCTGGGCTCAGAAAAGACACACGAGTTTGGACCTGAAGTGCTCATGCTCACCTCATGCACATCTGAACAAGAAAACACTTTACAAATGAGTACTGACAAAAGTCCAACGAAACAAAGCTAAAGACAGCACTTCATTTCTCAGAGCTCTACTTCTTCCCTGTTTAGACAGTCAAAAATACAATGAGCATTAAAAGCTGAATTCTCCTCACCTGTTCTCCATAATTTCTCTCACAGCAGCAACACTTGGTCCTGTCCCGAGGTGTGTGTAATAGGGGCCTTCATCTTTCTCTATAATTTGCTCTGTAAGCAGGTAAAGAAAACTGTGTTGGCACATCCAAAATTTATTTACCCCATTAAAAATAAACTTAGAAATGGTTTACGGAAATGCCTTCCAAATTAAATTAGAACACAGAGTTTGACCCTGAAATATCATGAAGGGTATGACAGGCTTTTTTCTTCAGTCGCTTTGGAATTATTTTATGCTTATTTCCTCCAGTGATTTTGCTAGCATTTTTTTAATGTTATTAAGTAAAACCCTAAATATAGCAATATTTTGCATTCTTTAAAACTTTCATTAGAGGAGCTGGCATTTCCTAAGTAAAACTCCCAATATCCTTTTTGGTAGGAACATTATTAATTCATTTTAGACAAAGGGGAATTGAGGGCAATAAAATAAATTAACAGCTAGTCATATCCTACAGAAGAGAAAACATAACCCAGGCTTCTTAACAAGCACTCAGTTGATTCAGAACACAAAGCCAAGGTGAAACAATCTGCCTGCAGATGATTTGCTGTGAAGGTTCTGACCTGTCCTCCCATCTGGGTGCTTTGGCAGTGACAACACCGCACATCTCACAGCCTCAGCCAAGCTGTGCCTGCACAACCCTCCATACAGAGCTTGCTCTGTCACCTCCTGCTGCAACAGAGTCACTCTGCAAGTGCCCCCACCTCGACTCCACCTGAGCTCTCCTCCTGTGGCCAGAGGTGTCAGGAGCTTTGGCCATGGACTCTCCCAGGCCATCCCACAGCGGCCATCAGGACTAACAGTGACGGGAGCAAGGCCAGTAACCTCTCCTGCTTGTCTAGCAGATTTAGGCAACAAGGAAAATACACTGGGACACTGCTGCCCAGCCCACTCAAGCACAAACCAGTTCTAGAGCATCACAGTCATGACCTGATCCAGTGCTGGGAAGTGCACATAAAGCACAAGCCAGCAATGGCAAAACAATGAACAGAAAAACTCCCTCTCCTCCAGGGTTAAATTTAAGTGGAGGATTTAAACCTGCCAGCTGCAGTACATAAAAATAAAATACTCAATTCTGCTGTGCTCTACAGGCCCAAAGAACACCAAGCAAATGTTACAAAGGAGGGGAAAGACAATTTCCTCCTGTCTTCTAATGGTGAAACACCAATTCTTGTGCAACATCACATACACTTCCTCACATTAAAGGAAGCAACATGAGCACACCTCCATTTGACACGTACAGGCAACAGTTAGCAAAAACACTTACCAACACAGTCACAAGTTGGCAATTCAGATTGTCCTTTTTTGGTAGGTGTGTCTATTAAATTTTTTGTAGGGGTATCAAGAAACTTCATGGGTGATTCAAGGAAACTGCTGAGCGTGTTTTTTGCTGGGGAACACCCTGAGTCGCCTCTGCTCTGGGCGTGGTCAGTACCCAAACTGGTTGATGTCAGAACGGTCACCTCACCCACACACTCCATATTCCTGAGAGCTTCAGCAGCACCTGGCACCTGGGCCCCACCACAGGGAACAGGAAGCACCTGGGACTTCGGATCTACCTGTTGTTTGACCTGCTGAACATAGGCTTTGTTTTCACTACACATTTCGTTAGCTCTCAGGTTAGACTGGTTAAAAGTTGGTGGCAAAGGATGCGCCTGACTGACATTTGCTGTTTGCTGTACCTGAGAATTACATTTTTCTGTAAACATCTGTAGGTTTTCAGTTGGTCTTTTCAACAAGGATGCTGTTTTCAGCTGTGAAGCAGCCAGAGGATTACGGGAGGACAGGTCGCTGTGTTGGCTACCTGCAACTTCATTTTTCAATGCATCAGTGCCTAGTGGGTCACTGGAGCCCGCAGTTTTCATTTGCTCATTCACCACCTCACAGCCAAACAACCTGTCTTTTTTTTTCTCCTCAGGTAAACACCTGTGGAATTTTATCTGTGCTTGTGGGAGAAATAATCTCGTTTTTTCTTGTGATGCTAAAGTATTTTGACTGAGTGCTCTCTGTACTTTGGTTCTTGGAGATTTCTTTTCAGACGGAGCCACCCTGGAATCCTGTGGCACAGTTTGACCAAGCTTGTGCAGTTTTGATGATATCCAAATGTCCTGCAATTCACTATGCTGGCATGACAACAGCTCTAGCTGGTTTTGATTATTTTGTTGATAGCGTGTTTCTTGAGGCTTCTTTTTGTGTCTTGGTTTCCATGGCACAGCATTTCCTTTCTTATTTGTTGCTTGTTTTTGCTTTAACAGTAAGGAACTATAATTATGCCTGAAAAATACGGTTTCTTTTTTCTGCAACACATCTTGGTTATATTTTGGCTGCCTCTCATGTGATATTAGATTAAGCAGTGATGCCTTTATATCGTTCTTCTGCTCTGGATTCGTCTGGTTTGATTCAATCAGTGCTGCCAGTTGAGTTAGTTGTGCAGCTACATCCTCTTCATCCTGGCTGTGAATTCCTCCCTCTTTAATCAAAGAACTACCTTCCAATTTTGAATCATTA